GGTGTAGGAGGTTGCTATGCAAACTGCCCCCTCCTTTCTCACCCACCGCGCACTGAGATGGCATGAAAACACAGGCGGCTGACGATGCCTGGGGAGTGGGTGAGAACTCTTCATAAGGCTTGAATGCCTCCCTGTCAGTTCTTGGGGGTGTTGCAAGTGCTGTGTACTTTCAGCATCTTGTTTGGAGGCTGGCAGAGGAAGGAGGCTCCATGTGAGATATCACTTGGTCATCAGAAACCTAACGTCTTTTTGGACTTGCATTCTTTTCGCCTGTTTCAATTTTTAAAGCTGTCAGTGTTGGAGGATGGAATGAACGTAATTGTTATGTTACGTACACAGCTTATTTATATAAATCTGGGGAATCGTGTTTTTACAATAAAAATTTAGTAAAATGTCCTTTTCTCTGTGTGTTCTAAAATGGAAATCCCAAAGTGGAGGACAAGAAGGAAAAGTAGGAAGTAAGCAAGCAATGGTGTAGCTCAGGCGGAGGACAGTGACAAGTGTCCGTCCCGCGTGCTTCCTCAGTGACTCATAGGTGCCAGAGACTCGCTGTCATCCTCCCTCTTCAGTTCCTTTCACCAGTGCAAGCCACGATGCCGAGGAAGGTTGCCAGGCCCCCAGTGCCGCTGCTGGCCAAAGTCCTCAGGCCACGCAGCTATCTGAGCAGCAGCAGCAAGGGAGCGTACCCGTGCCCTCTGCCCAGGCAGTGTGCCTCTGCTCTGATGTTCAGGGTCTCCTATTTGTGGCTTCCTTGATTTTCAGACTTTACTCTCAAAAAGTCACCAGCAGTACCACTGGCACCTTGTGTTTTACGAGGGGTCACGCTCTCATCCATAGTTTGATTCCGAAGGATCTTTCTGCTTTAGTGCCTGTGGTGGATCAAACTGGTGGAGGGTCTTACAACTCCTTTTGTTCCTCCTCTGAACCTCAGTGTGATGCTAGAGATGTCCTTCCTCCATTTCGTCATGTCAGGAGCTCCTCTATAAGTCAGGAATTAGAGTAATATGAAGACAACTAGAAATTATTTCAAGTTTGGACCATCTGTGCTGGCTGGGCCCAATGTCCTCTCACATAATACCTTATTGATCAGGTGGAAGGCAATTGCAAGGTGGGGGAGGGACATAACTGGTATCAAAAAGTAGTTGGTGCCATGACACCTGCCCCGTGCCGTGGAACACGGTGGCAGGATTGCTGTGCAGTGTAGAAGAGTCCAAATCCTCTGAGCTGTCTCTTGGTGTGGTTACTCTGTCTCACTCCAGCTGGCTGCCTTTACATGAAGATTGCACTGTTGGCTGGCACTTTCTGCAGCTGGCAGGTGGAGAAGATAATTTTCTCTTCCACAGGTTTCTGTCTCCTCTAGGTTCAGAGGAAATGGCAAAGCCAGTGCCTTTGGAATGCCCCGTGTTGGAGCACGATGATACCTTCAGCCGTGCCATAGTCGCTTTAGTCGTGCCTCTTTCAAGCTAATGAATAATTAACTGCTGTGTGCATGTGCACAGACACACTGGTCATGGGCATCTCTGCAGGGTCGTGGTGACCTGCAGACGATCGCAGGGAGCTGCTTACCTCAGCACACAATCTTTTGGCCTCACTGCCGCTTCGTTATCTCTTTGGCCACCAGCTGACCAAAGCTAAGGTCTCCATGACCTGCACTGGCAACAAGCAAAGGCTGACCGCTCCCCAGCCTTCTCGAAGCACGAGCGTGCAAACAGATTGAGGTGAGCTAGGTGTGAATTCACAGCAACTCGTCTCCCACGCTGTAACTCCCCCCAAGGTGAGTGCAAGGTGGCTCGCAGGAGAGCGGCAGGCTATTTTTGTTTCCAAGGGTGACAGCTTTCTCGCAAGAAGTTGCCACGAAGAAGCCAACCCATCTTAGCTGGTTTGCGTGCCCGTCGTCGGCACCGTACTCGAAAGCTTCCCAAAATTCAGCTGCGCGTGTCCGAGCAGGCCCCTGCTCTGAGGCAAGTGTTCAATACGACAGATCAATTTCCCTGCCTGTTACATGTTGAGCCATGCTGAGACGGCCCCTCTGTATTAGAAGAAATACTTAAATACTTTTGTCCTCTTGCTGTGGAACTGGTGCATTTTCGGACATGCCTGTAATTTTCAGGGGAGTATGGTTCATGGATCAGAGACGGTCCCTTGTCCGGTGTTTTCCCCCAAGAGACCCCTCTGTGGCTGATGCTTTGGAGCCTCTAGGGCCTATCTGCTTTTCACTATAAAACTGCAGTCTCTTGCTGAAGGATTTTACCTTTAAAATTTTCAGCAGAAAGTCAGGGAAGCTGGCAACAGGTGGCTTGCTATTGTATTCTTCTTTCCCTCGTGTTTCTTGCCCCCTGCGTATCGCTGCCATTACCCATCAAAGCATCAGGCTGAGTCAGATGTAGAAAAGGAGATGAAAAACGCAGGGTGATGCGTTGGTGCCAGCCGAAATGACCCTTTCTATCCGCCCGTCCCGGAAAGCTGCGATAAGCAGCTCAGAGGGCTGTGCTTCGTGACTTCATCCCTCCCCGCTGAGGGGAGATGGGCAACATCATTATCAGCTGCCAGGGAGTCCTGACTCGGTGCCAGCAGTGGAAATGTCCTTGGATGTACAGCTCCTCCTCCACCCCAGGGGTGACTTGAACTTGCTGGATAGGGGAGAAGGCGCTGGGAAGATGGAGGAAGAGCTGGAGGTGGGGAGATGGGAAGAAAGAGGTGAGAACTCAACCGCTTCTCTGTGATGATGTCATGGCAACAAGGTACGTCGACATGCTGCCAGGCGGCCCAGGCAGGCTTTGAAGCTCTCCAGCTCTTCCCCATTGATGCGGGCTTGTGTCTGACTCGCTGAAAAGTCTTTTGGTTAATATTTCATGGCAGCATTGAAGTGCTAAGGGTGGCAAGTGCCCCACCTAATCCCCCTGCCTCCACTTTCCAATGGGATGCTAAATTGGGGCGCAGGGTAGGACTGCAAGCTCCCCTAGCCTGGAGATGGGACTCCCGGTCAGTAGGGTGGCTTCGGCCTGTAGGGTCCCTGTCCCTGTCTGGCTGTATGGGAAGGAGGTTTCTATCCCCCGTAGCCCAGTTTGGAGCTGGTTTGGGACACTGGAAGAAAGGGGCTCTCCCTCTTCTCTTGGTCTCCCAGGGCTGGCTCTGGAATAAAGAAATCTGTGGCTCTGCTTCGGGAGCTGAGCCCAGCTCCTTTGATGCGAGCGGTTAACACATGGGTTTTGTTGTTGTTTTTATTTTTCTTTTTGCTAAGCAATGACCTAACGATCCCGTGTTCTAGCTACAGCCCCTCCTAGGCGCCTTCTTTCCAGACCGTACGTCCGGACTGGATCCAGCAAACCTCCTGGAGCAAGACGCCGTGTTCCCTTCCCCGGGGAAGCCATCTGCTCCCCTCCGCCCGGCTCCTTCTGCAGGGCTTTGAGCTCGCCAGCCGGGCTGGAAAGCTGTCGTCCTCCTCCTCCCCATTCGCCCCGGCTCCCATCGGCCATCTTGTTAGCGCAAGGCACGGGAACGCGGGGCTGGCTGAATCTGGGGCGGCTGAGGCGGTTTCCAGGCAACTGTCGTGCCGTGGGACACGGCGAGCCGACAACACCGGGAACACCGTGTTCTCGCCACACCGCCTGGCAGGGGGCCGAGCCCGGCGTGGATGGAGCCGGCATGGGACAGTGCGGAGAGGGCAGCGCGAGCAAGAGAGTTGTGCGGGGATGGCAGCAGAGGAGGGAGTCTCCAGCATGCCCCCTCCTGCTTGCCGCTTATCATACCCTCCCTGGCTTGGAGCAAGGGTGTCCAAGCGGGCTGCTGATACCTCACACAGCAAGGAAGGACTGTGTGTTGTACAGGATTTCACGTGCTCTCTGCATCCTTTGGGAAATTGAAAAGAGGGAAAACATTGCTCTGGACTCTGTACCCAAGCCCCCAGGCTTGTTGCAGGTGGTCCCGTGCTTTTCTGTCCCTTAACAAATCCAAAGCTCCCTCCCTACAAGTCGCCAACCTTTTTTGCCCACGCAGCCCAGCTCTGTGTCCCTGGGTGTCACTGGAAAAGTTAATTTTTTGGAAAAGTTAATTTCTTGTAAAAATGGACTGCCCGTCCCTTCCACAAGCTGACGGTCCTCCTTGGCTGTCGGTGGGTCCTGCTGCCCCTCAGTGCTGATGCCTGAGGCAGCAGGCACCATCCCCACTCCTGCCTACCTGCCTCCCCTGCCTGCTTCAGGGGCCCTGGGATCGTCCCTGCCCATGAACCTCACCTGCCTGGTGGCCCTGCCTTGCACTGCCAGCCCAGCTTTTCCCCTCCTAGCGAGGCTGATACTCACATCCCCTTTGTTTTACTTAGTTTGAGTGGGTTTTAAGAGGGGGGGCTGAGTACAAGTGGTTTTGAATAGATGGGGAGGGTGATAAAATTGCTCTGGTTGAGCAGCAAGAGAAAAACTCTCCTGGGTTACGAGTGTGCGGATATGATGGACACAGGGAATGGGGCTGCGTAGTGCTGGGCAGGGTGGGTGCTGCAGAGGGGCAGAACCGCTTTAATGCCCTGTATACCAAGAAATGTTCTACAGCCCCATGCAGGTGACAGCACGGAGGGACAGGATGGTGCGGGGGTTATCTGCAGCCATCGCTGAACCCGAGCCAGCATCGCGGCTATTGATTTGGAACTTGCCCCGATCACACTAACCTTGGAGGTACCGGCTCGTCCTTTATCAGCACTGATAAACCCCGCTGCAACCTCCCGCCCTGTCCCGCTTCACCCTGAGAGGTGCCACCGTGAAAGATCTTTCCTGTGACTCTGCACCGGTTGCTTTTTTGCTGCGATGCTCTAAATCCGGGACGCCTCGCTCCTATTTTTGCACAGAGGCTGCGGCCGCAGCGACTCTCTTTCAGCCCCGGGTGGGTGCCCACCCCTTGCTGAGTGTCTCAGGCGAGGAAGGATGCGGCGACGGCTGCAAACGCTTTTCCAAAGGAAATTTAAAGTCAGCCTCCTCTTTCTCCTGCTCTTGGCCCTTCTGGTGCACCTGGCGATGGATTTGGCTCTCCCCACAGCCCGCAGGCCCTGCAGCTGCGATGTGAAAGCATCGAAAGCCTCGGGCATCCCATCAGCCAGCCCTGTGCTGGCCGGCCCCAAAAAGCTGAGCCTGCGAATCCTTCAGGATTTCAGCGGCAGCAACGGCTCCTTGGAGAAAAGCTCCCAGCCACAGGGGGCGAGACTGCAAGCCAGGGCTGGAGAGCCGGGGGTCTGGTGGCAGAGCGGAGAGGGGAACGCAGGGGGGACCAAGGGATCAAAGCTGGCAGCGCTCTTCAAGCATCCTCTTTACAACATCCCAATCCCGGAGGTGACGGAGAAAGACAAGCTGTTTGTCGTCAACCCCATGGAGAAGTTCAGCCTGCGCAGCAGCGGGAGTGACGAATGGTGAGGAGCGAGCTCAGCCCTTGCTTTTGGGGGATAGATGGGTTTGAGGGAGCAAGCGGCAGGGAGAAAACACGTTGTTTCTTTGCGTAGACCAGCATCCCATCCTGGAGGTGCCCCAGTTGCTGAGTGTGCTCTTCTCATGCCTCAAATCCTCAAGTTTCTGGGCTGTTACCCGGGAGCCTGTAGCAGACAGTGAAGCCAAAGGAGATTCTTGAATTATTCACAGTATTATGTAGGGTATCTTTTAGGTCATCTCCTCGTCTTCTTTCCTTCCCCAATGCAGACTCTAGCCTTTGGTCTCTCTCTGTCTATATATGAGGAAGTCCCCACTCCAGATTTCTAACCAGTTTTATTCCCCTCTCCTGACGTGTTGGAGATGCAAAGCCCACAATGTAGGTTACCTCTAATGGTGAGACCGTTCCTGTCCTGCATTTTGCAGGACATTGCCTGACCTCTTTAGGCTCGGCCGTATGGTGAGCTCACCGCTGCCAGCTGCCTATTTTTATCACTGGACTACTAACCTGTAATTAGGAGGGAAGATATTAAAAGCTTTAGCGTCGATAACACGTAGAAGCTTCCTTACGGAAAGCACACCTTTCAAATGTGGTGGCTGCTAAAAATGGGAGAGAATAAAAGCTGGTGTAAGAGCTGGTTTCCACAAATGGGCATTTGCCTTGTCTCTGAGGACTACCTCGCCTATGGACAACCATGGGAGACGGGTCTAGTTCGATGAAATTGAGGCACAGCCTGCATTTTCCTAGAGCGGGAGAGACGTGGATTTGGACTATAGATGCCCTGGGCCAGACTGTCCCATTGCTGTGCCAGCAGGTGCTGGTGCAGCGGCAGGGCAGATACCCCCAGGAGCCCCCCTTGAATGCCAGCAAACTGCAAGTTTGCAGGAGGCACAGAGACAGGGATAGTGCTAACCTAAACTCATCCCCCTGGGGGAACCAGGGGTGTGCGATAAACCCGTCCAAGGGGAACCAGATGTTGAGGATGGGAGTTCAGGTCGGTGCTGGGGATGGCAGGGAAGCCCTTGCTCCTCCACTCCTGTTTTACAAACACGTGTGTGTGGCCAGTGAGTATGTGGCAGGGTGTAGCCAGTTGTATTCCTGGATGCTAATCCCTTGGGGAAAAACAACGAGACGAGCTGCTCTGGCAGGGAAATAAAGGCAGAGATGAGAGGATCAGGATCAGACCGGGAATTTTCCGCAGGGCATGTGAGGGAAGACACTGAGCCCCCTCCGGCCATGCTAGCAGGTCTTCCCAGCCACCAGCCGTGGGTGGGATCTGCCTAGGTGCCAGGAGCCCCAAGGAGGGCACATGGGGCTGGGGGTTTCACCACCATCCAGGGCTTGTGCTAGGCCTTCCCCCTGCCTCACCTTCCATGCACTGGCTCCCAGGAAGGGCCTGGGGACACAGGACCTGTCCTGTCCCAACTAAATGCTGTCGTTGTTGTTGGGGTGGCGGTGGCTGTTGGACTGCAGGGTCAGCAGCAGTAAAGCCGAGACGCTCCTCCCGACAGGGAAGACTGCCTATGACACCTACCCCGCCTGGCTCAAATTCCATGTTGGCATCAACCGCTACGAGCTGTACCCCCGCCAGGACCCCCTGATGCCCATCCTCCTCCGGGAGTTGGCCACGCAGAGGATCGTCAGCTCGGGTACCACGTCCCTGCCTGCACCCCTGCCCACACCCCTGCCCTGCTGCCCGCCACCTGCCTCCATCATCCCCATGTGCCCCCTTTCAGTCCAGAAGTCCGGCGGGACCCAACTCAAGCTCATCATGACGTTCCCGAATTACGGGCAGGCCCTCTTCAAGCCTATGAAGTGAGTAGAGCCGGGGACAACCCCATACCCAATGGGCACGGGCCCGTTAGGTGGTGAGGAGTGGCCAGAGGAGACCACGGAGGGAGAAATGGAGAAATGCTTCCTGCACTGCCTCGCTTCAGCCCACACAACCCAAAAATTGAGGCGAGCACAACGGTCCTCTTCCCCTCGCCTTCCCTGGTGGTGCTTGCTGCGGGCTGGGCGCAGCTTGTGATGGGGTAGTGACCTCCAGTGGTGGAAAGAAGAAGACGGTCCATGAGGACCATCCAGGACCCTCCAGTCCATGAGGGCTTCCCAGCCCTTGGTTTGGGAGTAGGGGGTGAGTGGGAGCTTGGCTGGGGGCTTTGGCCCCAGCGGGGAGTGACTGGAGGAGACTGGGTCTGGCTGTGTCTCCAGTGGCACCAGGGACACAAGGTGAGTGGTGGTTTGGAACCAAGCCCATGTTCGGGGTGATGCCATCCATGGCCATCACTCCCACCCTCCTCTCTCCTCCCAGGCAGACCCGGGACCAGGAGACCCCCATAGACTTCTTCTACTTCTCAGACTTTGAGCGGCACAACGCGGAGATTGCAGCCTTCCACCTGGACAGGTGAGCGCCAGCTTTGCATCCAACCCTGCCCTTCTGTGACAGCAAAGCAGCAGAGAGACTGCTTCTTCATCCCACCTCTTCCTCCTCATTGTGAGGGATACCTGCATCTCGCCGTGGTTTTAATAACTTGCTGTGAAAACCAGCTGGGTCGGCAAGAAATGGTTCCAAGTTCTGTATTTCAGGATCCTGGATTTCCGGCGAATCCCACCAGTTTCTGGCCGTTTGGTCAACGTAACGAAGGAAATTCGTGACATCACCACAGACAAGAAACTGGCCAAGACTTTCTTCATCTCCCCAGGTGAGCTTTCATGCCATCCATCCTCTCCTGCAGCCACCCGCATGGAGCTCCCCTGGACCTGGCTGCTCCTGCCCTGGCTCCCCCTGCACTGGGGCAAACTGTCCCTTTGGGGACTGCTCCAGCTCCTGCTGGGTCCCCTGCCATGGGGTTCTGCTCCTCAAGGCCTTCCTTGCCATTGCTTTTCTGGTGGCACCTGTCCACGGTGGGTAGAGCATCCTCACCTGGCCGCCTGCCGGACCTACCCTGCACGGGGGTAGCAGGCTCGTTGCCTTCCTGCTCTTCATCAACCTTTGCTTTGTCCCCACGGCCAGCGGGCAACGTCTGCTTCTACGGGGAGTGCTCCTACTACTGCTCCACCGAGCACGCCCTCTGCGGCAAGCCGGACCGGCTGGAGGGCTCCATGGCTGCCC